TCCAGCCATACTGTACACATTGTTAACGTAGACGACACTAGAGTCCAGCCATACTGTACACATTGTTAACGTAGAGGACACTAGAGTCTAGCCATACTCTACACATTGTTAACGTAGAGGACACTGAGTCCAGCCATACAATACACATTGTTAACGTAGACGACACTAGAGTCCAGCCATACTGTACACATTATGTGTATCTTGATGTCGTGGGTATAAACATGCTGTAAAACAAGTTATGAACGTGAATTTGTTAGTGACATTGATTATATCTGGACTTAGATGATTTCTAGAAATGTGCAATGTAAAACAAGACCTGTAAATAATCTCTTTCACTACTACGCTTATATTATTCTTGTATTCACATCTAACCTCTCTGTAATTTGTTGGTAGAAATAAAAGCCTGAAAAGGGAAAGAGAAATTATGTGCAATTAGTTAATAAAAGTGGCTTGGATATGAAGTGTCTATGAAAGTTGGCTTTGAGTATAATCTTATACAGCAGGACGTTTTCATGTATTTATTGCTTATCCACATCTACTATTCAGCAGCAATCTCCTACTGTCTGCTTGTGTGATGTTGGGAATGTATTGAAGAGAGCAGCTTGTACTGATGGGTCCAACATGTTTCAGGCGCCAATACGTATGGAGGTTCCAACATGTTTTGATTGGCCAACATGAATTAAGGGTCCAACATTTTTCAGGCGCCAATACGTATGGAGGTTCCAACATGTTTTGATGGGCCAACTTGTATTAAGGGTCCAACATGTTTCAGGGGCCAATACGTATGGAGGTTCCAACATGTTTTGATGGGCCAACTTGTATTAAGGGTCCAACATGTTTCAGGGGCCAATACGTATGGAGGTTCTAACATGTTTTGATGGGCCAACATGTATTAAGGGTCCAACATGTTTCGATGAGACCAATACGTATGGAGGTTCCAACATGTTTCGATGAGACCAATACGCATGGAAGTTCCAACATGTTTCAGGGGCCAATACGTATGGAGGTTCAAACATGTTCCAGGGGCCAATACGTATGGAGGTTCCAACATGTTTTGAGGGGTCAACATGTTTGAGGAGCCAATATGTATGAAGGCGTCAGCATGTTTTGAGAGGCCGATATGTATAGAGGCTCCAAAATGTTTTTAGGTACCAACATGTTTTGATGCTCTAATATGCTTTGAGGGGCCAATGAATGAATGAATGATTGGATGAATGAATGAATGAATGAATGCATGTGCTTTATTTCCTCCATTAAGACGGAGAGTACCTATATGAAAACAGGGCTTTGAGGTTCCAGGAGCTGATGCTTTTTGCTGTAATGTCAATAAATACAGCCCACTCATTCAGTGACATGTTTTCAATGAGTGGTGTGATTCAGTCTTTCACTCAGGCGCGTGTCACTGCAAATCAAATTACACATATATCTCAATAATGACAAACTGTACGGCGACGGAGTCATGGCCTGCTCCAACGGCATTCCAACAGGTATGAGCCTTTTCAGGCTGACAGATGCACCGTAGCATGTTGCTGTTGACTTCTGGACTGCCGCCGTGACGGATATTGTGTTGTGTACCCAGATGCATCCCGCGATAATGTTGCACGCATATTTATGCTATCTGTGAGCCAAAGCAGGTGTTCCTGTTGCATCACTACAATTAGTTCCGCATCATTTGAGAACATTTGGAATCCACATTCCTATAAATATAGTTTGGCCTGGCTTAATTTTTTTGCTCGTCATGTGTATATCTATATTTATATTCTGTACAAAAAAAATGTTAAATGATCAGTGCCATTATTTGGATGACGTCAGGGTATAATTAACATACCATCTGTGATTCTTGTTTGTATATGACGTGAATTGGTAAAGATCTTCAAGTGCTGAGCCCAGAGTAACTCCTAGAGATTCCAGTAACACTGGCGTCTCACAGTAACAGTCATCCACCCATCGTTGATTGTGCATAAAACAAAAATATGTACTAGTATATTGTGATGAAGCGTAAAATAAAAAGGTAAATACATGAAATACAGGTAAATACAGGTAAATACAGGTAAATTATTACATCATCCTATCCCGGATATTGACATCATCCAATTACGTCACAAAATAATACAAATACATAGGGTGTTTTTATTTACAATGCATGTTTAATTTGACAATTTAGTTATGAAAATCTATTGCAATTTCCGTGGTCTCTATTTCAACAGGAGAATCCATGTCGATGTATTACGACATTACAACAACAGAAGCGGCATCCATGACTATATATGAGGACATTAAAAGAACATTAGTATGGTCGACGTCAATGTATTAGGACATACAAACAATGTACAAACAGCATACATGACAATGCGTCAGGACATTAAACCAACAGACGCTGTGTATTAGGACATTCAAACAACCTAAATCGCATCCATGACAATGAATTAGGACATTAAAATCACAAAAGCGACATCCAGGACAATAGCTTAAGTAGCTCCTGCAGATTGGCGTCTCACAGTAACAGTCATCCACCACTCGTTGATTTTGCATACAAGAACGATATACAGTGTATTGTGATGAAGCGTACACTATGACTGACTGACTGACAATATTCCAGCAATATCACGGCGGGGGACACCAGAAATGAGCTTTCACAAATTGTACCCTTGTGGGGCATCGAACCCGGGCCTTCGGCGTGAGGAGCGAACACTTTAACCACTAGGCTACCCCACCGCCCCGCGTAAACTATGAAGGTAAATATATGAACAACAGGTTGTACGCCACCCTATCACTTATATATTGACATCATCAAATTACGCAACAAAACAATACAAATGTATTTAATATAAACATTTAGTTATGAAAATCAGCAAAATCCATTGCAATTTAGGAGAATCCATGTTGATGTATTACGACATTAAGACAACAGAAGCAACATCCATGAAAATATATTAGCACATTAAAAGAACATGAGCAGCGTCCACGACAATGTTTTAGGACATTCAAACAACGTACAAGCAGCGTCCACGACAATGTATTAGGACATTGAAAGAACATGAGCAGCGTCCACGACAATGTATTAGGACATTCAAACAACGTACAAGCAGCGTCCACGACAATGTATTAGGACATTCAAACAACGTACAAGCAGCGTCCACGACAATGTATTAGGACATTGAAAGAACATGAGCAGCGTCCACGACAATGTTTTAGGACATTCAAACAACGTGCAAGCAGCGTCTATGAAAATGTAGTATGACATTAAAGCAACAGACGCTACATCCACGATAATGTGAAACATCAGAAGCAGCATCCATGGCATAATGTCCTTGTACCAAAAGAAAGGAGGCGCCTCACACAGTGTACATTTATTTTTTCTCTCACTTTCATTCTCTCAGCACTCGTGTCTCCAAATTGATCTTTCATGAATTTCTTTCAAAACACGTTACTTCGATGGTAAAAATAAGACATTAATGTTGTTGTACTAAATATATATCACGATATACGTTCGATATCAAACTGCTCACCTTAAACTGTAAGAAGCCTATAGTCATCTTGAATGCTCATATTAACATTTACATGAAATTCTTTTGAACAAGCGTAATGGTTTAGAGCGTTCAATATAGTTACCCTTTTCAGTTAACATAGTAGTGAAAGGTAATTCTGCGGTCGAAGCCGTTCTCGTTGTTGTGGTTGCCAACGTAGTACTCGTCAATGATGTCGTTGCAGCTGCTGCTGAACCTACAACACTATTAGCATTCTAATGTTGCGTCAAACAAAATGCAGCCTTACTCAAAATGATTGAAAGCTGAAGCATGTCCCGCTGTCTTTAATGTTCAGTTCAGGTTTGAAATATTTGTTTATCAAACGGTTCTTCCCATAGAAGAGAAACACGTACAGTATCTTCTGCTCTTTACATATGGAACCTGTTCTTAGTAGAAAACAAGACACTCTGCCAGTCCAGTTCACTTGTTCAGTTAGCGCCTACCAGTGTCAACAAGATCCCTCGGAAAGATTTATTGGTATTCTGATTTGGCGTTACACACAAAATGATTGAATGTTGAAGCATGACCCGACCGTTTTCAATGTTTGATTTCAGTTTTACATTTGTTCTCCATTGATGTGCTTGAACTAAATGAGTGGCATGCAAGTTTATTTTTGTGGTATGACTTGTTAAGTTTCAGACTTTAAAAGGGGCCGAGACTAACAAAGGAACATTCAAAGTAAAGAGACAAATACATACTGTACCTTTTGAGCAAGTCTAAACACAAAAGGTTTTGGTAGTTTCTTTGATCTTATGACCTTTGGCAGTTTAATGATTTGTACAAAACGATTTCCCCATCACTATCACAGAAGGCAAGTACCGTATGTCAATAATCTATGTCAAGTGGGATTTAGTATAGAGCTCGAGTCACAAATCAATGTTGTGAGTGAGTGAGTTTGGTTTTAGGCTGCTTTTTAGCAATATTCCAGCAATATCAAGGCGGGGGACACCAAAAATGGACTTCACACATTGTGCCCATGTGAGCAATAGAACCCGGGTCTTCGGCGTGATGATCGAACGCTTTAACCACTAGGTTACCCCACCGTCCCGACAAATCAATTGAAGGTAAGCAGCGTTGGTCACGGAGAGTCTTGGATGGGTGACCGTTTCCGGCAGTTTCACTCCTAGAGGGTTCTGGGACTTCTGTACTGTCCCACAACGACGCACACGTGATTCATGTTGTCTCCTTAAGCAAGTAAGTTTGTTCAAAATCGTGTCTGTTCAAACAGCAGAAAATGGGTACCTGCTGGGATAAGTCACATGACTATTAACCTTCACAGGCAGCTTGGATTATGTATAATGTTCATTATAATTGTACTGCTAAAATCGCTCTATGCAACTGGGCCCTGGGCCCCATTCCTCAAACCGATCGTAGCGCTAAGACGACCGTATCTCCGATGCTTAGGCTTACGAGTGTGGTAGCGCTACAATGGCTTTGAGGAACGGGGCCCTGGTATGTAAGAGTATATATGAGTCTTCATCTGTTCTCGGTCCTGTTCTTGTCAACAGTAATTATTACGGAACACGTAAAGTTACTGATGAATGCAGAAGTAATGCATGCATCAACAATAATAATAGATCACAAATCTCGCTACCTTTCTTCACACAAATATACGGGTGCACATAGTGACATGGAAAGTCATTCCAAGCGCCGAAAACCCCAAAGTTGGGCCCAATGCAGTGCTCTCCAGCTAAGTTGTCAGGCTGACCTGAAAGAGAATTAACATTTATGAAGCACCTGAAAGCAGTACAGATACATTGTGACAGACAACCTATCCTGTGGTGAAGGTGCATTGATAAGTCACAAGGGGCACTTCCAGGCATAAGGTGCTACAACGTCACACTATGGACATAACGAACCATTCTCTGACGATGACTCTGCCCTACAATGGGTAAACAGACACCTGTATCTGAGAGTTTCTCTCAATACACTTACCTGTGTAAGTGAACTGATTTTATTGACTGAAGGTTCCACAGGTGTGGAACTCAGTGGTCTGAGTTTCTGTTATTCAGAGTTATGTCCCTTATGTCCCTGCCAGGATATGATAATTTAAAAATTTCCAGCGTGATCATTTACTTGCCATTACCGTATTAGAGGGCTCAGTTGTCACCCACATGAGAACAATGTCTGTATTGCTACACCCTTACGACAATATGATACCTGATTCCCAGTTAGAGAAATCAGGTGCAGACCCGTCCGTCCAGCGTAAAAACCTTCTTGTTGTAGATCATTTAAACCGATCCAAATGGGCATAGATGATTCAAAACCTGAATCAAAACCTGAAACAAAATGGCATATACATTGATCAAATCAGATACGCTATATGCCATAACTATAATGTGTCTGTTTCTTTAAATGAATTTCCAGAAATGTATCGAAGTCAGAATTTTAAGTCAAGTTACAGCATGGCACATATTTTCCGATTGGCTATTAAAGCTTGCCAGATGAGCTTCTCTTTTTTGACTATGCTTGTAAGTGGAATGTCAGTCCGTTTTGTCAGAACTGATGAAGTAGCAGTTTGTTTCAATGAAATTTGTCGAGGTCACAATGTTAAATCAAGGTACAGCATGGTTGCCAGAAAATTACGTAAACGTTATATTGATATGCATAGGCTTTATTTTTATTTAAACTCCATCAATGTCATAATCATAATTGACACGTTATATGATTCGTTTACAAAAGGATTAAGTGGAAATGATATATTCAGCAAATAGTAGTATAGTTAAGGTTCCATACTTGAGATATATGCAATGTTAGCGGAATGCCAGTCCGTTTTGGAAGAACTGAAGAAGTAGCACTTAGATAACATAGCGCTCGTCAGTAGAAAAGGGCCATTATGTCCACCGTCACATCAATAAATTCAAATAGTTAAGGTTTTACTTTGCACTGAAGGGCCTGTGGAAACAGCTTAGTATCAGAATGAACGAACACGGAGTTGGGTGATTGTCAGACAGTGCATACACTCCTTTAATCACCTGATGGCGGACTCTTAAAATATGTGTAATTGCTGTACAATGCGGAACTCTACCATATTCCAGCATATTCCAGCTGTAAATAAAACGAGTGAATAATATCATGGGCAAACCTCGCTGTCGGTGGACGTCAACATGCAGTTAACCAGGTTTCTGAACTTGAGTGCGTGTCTCTTATCATACGGTGTCGCGTTACGTGCAATCAGTGAAGTATGGTACACTACGAGGTTGTCGTGCACGAGGTTGTACTGACGGTCTTTGTTGTTGAGTTGACATTCTTCCTAGTTTTGGATAATACGATTCTGAAATTCTACACCACATTAATGAATGGCAAAGAATGCAACCTTTTTCTAGCAAGCAGTAGTCAGCTTCTGGTATCGCGGCTTGTAAAGATTCGAAATTTGACTGTCAATATGAGCAGGGACCCACTACCAACTTGACATGTGGACACGCAATCGATCAAATATCACTTGTCGATTCTGATGGAAATCATGAACTTCTAGTAGGGACCACATGTTCGTTTTTTATACTGAATATTTGAAGAAGCAGAGGTAGAGATTACAGTGTGTAAGATTGCAGGCGTATTTCATATGAATAGGTTCTATGATCCATAATTAGTTGATACAAATCTAGGGTTAGGGCTAAAATGTCACCACAGCAAAACGGCACCTGGCTAAAACGGCACCAACTGGACATAACGAAACCTCGACTTGGCGAAAACGGCTACAAATCTTATGGTGAAAACGGCACCAACTAAAATCTTATGGGAGAAACTAGGGACCAACAAGTACCATATTTTAACGTCTTTTGGTATCACGCGGTCGGGGATCGAACCCGCGACCTTCCGCTCTCCGGGCGGACGCTCTAACCACTACACCACGGAAGCGGTCTGCGTCTATATAAGCCACTAGGGTTGTTCGCCTATCCAGGTTTCTTTGACGAAATAAAAATGAGTTTAAACCAAATATATCTACTGTGCCGACAGTGATTGGAAATGGGCATCCCATAGCTGATAATCGGATTGCAGAATGTTTAGATAGTAAATACATCTACTGTGCCGACAGTGATTGGAAAGGGCATACCAATTTAGCGTAAAACATCGCAATCTTTGATGTTTTAAGTGCAATTACTCAACTTAAATCGCTCAGTGTCAAACTCAGTGTCAAAAATGAAATTGTATTTAAAACACACAAATGTACCCATTGTTTACCGTCGCCGAAATACCTTAGTTGTGCGTGCGACCTTAAATAAAGCAAATAACAAAAACCCATTGTTTGTTAGTTTTTTTGTTTTATGGGGATTTTTTTCTTTTTTGGGGTATGCATAACATAATATTATTTCTGAATATACATAACATACATTATGCAAGCTTAATGATGTTTCATTTTTCGTATTTTACCATTTTTATTAGACATTTCCTGAAATTGTGTCACTGCCGTTACGAAATTTGTAACATCATTTTGAAAAGAAAAAATCAAAAGATAGTATCCAAACATTCAAATGCCACATCTGTGACATCAGCCACTGGAGTTGTGACACATGAACACTGAGTAAAATTGAGTGGTGTAAAGTAAATATAAAAATATATTTTCCCTAATTGTGTTACTGTAAAGTGTAGAAGATACTGGGATAAGTTAGTTACCATAAATGTTTTGGTTTGATTTTGACTTAAGTTTGTCGGCTACAAACATCTGACATAAATATGCACGGATTTAGAGAATGAGTCATATGTTGATATAATCTTGCTAATGTTACAATGAAATGGAATAGAAAGTCAACGTCATACCTTTTTTATATATCGTGCCGTTTTAGCCCAGAAATCAGTGGTCGTTTTCGCCAATATGGTGCCGTTTTCACCAAACAAATTTGGTGCCGTTCTGCTGTGGTGCCGTTTTAGCTATAACCCCAAATCTACAGGTAAGACATGTGATCTCAACAATAATCTGTGACTGTACATAGGCGGATCCGGAGGGGGTTTGCAGGGGTGCGCACCCCCCTTTTGTACTGAAAGTTCATTAAATGGTCATTGAAACCCGGGTGAAAATGAAGTGTGCACCCTCCCTTTTCTGAATAGTGTGCACACACACACACACCCACCCCCACCCCTTCTCAAAAGCTGTATCCGCCCCAACTGTGGGTCTGCCAACTAGCGACAAAGATTGTGTATCCCTAAACGAGCCACGAGCCAATGAATTCCTATTCCAAAGTGATCATGTGATTGGCTACATCCTGTATTCCTCAAGCCAATGACGTGCGTGACTTAGGATTCACACATAACATAAGTGATACTGGTTTGTTTGTGAGCGTTACTGCTACGCTGTAATGTTTATACGTTTCATCAACCATTTATACACAGTGATGGAAAATATAGGTAGTAAGAGAGTAACTATACATTACTCCTGTTCTAAATAATGTCTTTGCTTTCATGTTCGCTTATGTTGAATCAGCCCTCTCAGATACCTGCAACCAGTTGGGGAGAAAGATTAATGCTCTTGAAATATTTTGTCAGGGAACAGGTATGCAAGTTAATCTTAACAATACTTAAGTTATCGATTTTGGAAATGGTGGTCCTCTTCGCATTTATGAGAAGTGGTATTTTAATGGGGAACAATCTGAAATGGTTTCATTCTATAAGTACTTTTGGATCACGTTTACACCTGAACTTGTTTGGTCTAAAGTTCAAACCTGTCTTGGCACAAGCCAGGAAGGCAATACCCTCTGTTAATGTCTTTCAAAGAAGATTTGAAAACATATGCTGCTCTGACGTTTTCAAAATACTTGTTGCAATGATAACACCTACGTTATGCTATGATAAGAGTACCTCTTATTGTTATTGCAAAAAGTTTCTAAAATCCAGCAAATCATCGTGTAATGTTATGGCTCTGGGCGAAAGTGGCAGATTCCCTTCACAGCTTATTTACATGACACGTGTTGTAAAAGTTTGGTGTAGACTAATTCATCTTCCACATTCCAGACAATCATATCAAAGTTACACTATGCTCAAAGCTCCACATAGCAGTGGACACACAACACGGGCAACAAAGGTTTAAAATATTCTGTTTTATTATGACTTTGGGTTTGTCTGGTTTAGCCAGGATGTTGGTGATGTAAATATGTTTATCTATCTGTTGAAGGAAAAGCTTCCAGAAAGATTGTCTGATACACTGCTACATTCATGGCAGTCTTCTATTAATGAACATTTGAAATGTCTTTCTTATAAACAGTTCAAATCATTCCTTGGTGTTGAAAAGTACCTATCTTATGATATTCCTTTCCATTTAAGAGCAGTCCTTTCACAGTTTAGATGTTGCCATTTTAAAATAGGAGTTGAAAGTGTCCCCTATGATAACATTGAATATACTCAAAAGCTGTCTGTGTATTGTAAAAGGTAAAGTCCATATTGAGGATGAAATGCATGAACTTATCTGTGAATCTTACTCAACATTAAGAGACAGATATAGTACTAAGTATGTTACGAAACCATAGCCTTTACACTTTGGTAATCTTTAACTGAGAACAACAATTCTGATATCATTAGGTCCAGGACTCCTCATTTTTGTCTGAAATATTTTAAGTCACAGAAAACAGGTAAATGATCTTGCACCAGGAAACAAATCATCAATGTAATGCTGGCCTGTTCTGAAATAAACCTGACTGTCTGTCTGCCTGTGTGTCGGTCCTTGTCGGTCTGTCTGTCCTCTCAATCTATCATGGCTGAACGCAAATAAGTGAGTCTGGTACAGACAAACCAGAAGGTACTGACATAGTTAATTTACCCCGCCTTTAGGGAGGCCTACCCATAACCACCTACCACCGAGACTACAACTCTTCAACACCGGGTTCTATACTGACTATAGTTTATCATAGGTTTACCTTTCCTCGTGATGAGACGTCCACCCTCTCACTTGACACCTACAACTCTTCAACACCGGGTTCTATACTGACATAGGTTCACCTTTCCTCGCGTCCACCTCTCTTACTACAACTCTTCAACACCGGGTTCTATACTGACACAGGTTTACTCTTCCTCGCGTCCACCTTTCTTACTACAATTCTTCAACACCAGGCAATATTGGTTCGTCCTAAAGTGGGAACCTGAGTGACAGAAACTCTACTCTTGTTAAAAGTATCTTCTAAATAGTTTGAGTCTGATCATGTCCAATTCATCGATTTGATTTGTTAATCTGACCATGGTTTGATGTCTTGCCACATGATCGGAGAATGACTGCAAACTACTCACCACTGATTCACCGTTAACGAACGAAGAGTTTTGTGCATTCTGTTTCTCCCCATTATTACGTTATATATATCTTGATTTATTACAAAGCAGCGATAGCGCCCATGCTATCACGGAAAAACCGAAATTCTCAATCATGAGCTTCTTATACTTTTCTTATGTGTTGGGGAGGCATGTCTACCTTATAACTCAAGTGAAACTTATTATCCTTGCTTGCCATCATTCTCACGATGTTTGTAAATCAGTATATTTAATGTATTTGGTTGTCACACACGAGATTGACATTTAACAGGGCATTTTGTCACACACGTTCGATCGAGTTGCATTTACGATAAATGCACCACCCCAGTAATCATTGCCGTCTGAACACTCCCGCCAGTCTCAACTATACCCCTTATTTATCCCATCCGACAACCGTCTGCACACACGATCCAAACTGCATACACCTGATTAGATCCGGGTTAGAATTGGTCTTTAGTAACCCTTGCTTGTCGTAAGAAGCAACTGAAGGGATCGGGTGGTCAGGGTCGCTGACTTGG